TGAATCCTGGCTTCCTCCTGTGGCGGACAGAGGCTCCAGCTCGCCTTCTCTTCTCGAGTAGTTTATCAAGTCTTCTAGTTCTTCTGTTTTACCTTTGCACGTCCCGTGAGTGTGTCTGCATTGTGCACGTCCCGTGAGTGTGTCTGCATTGTGCACGTCCCGTGAGTGTGTCTGCATTGTGCACGTCCCGTGAGTGTGTCTGCATTGTGCACGTCTCATCCCTGGTCTTAGGTTCTTGCTTCCTTTGTCCTCCTCCTCTGCAGTGGGGACCCTGATTCTCTCTCAGGTGGCCCCGTCCTGCCACACCTCACTCACCATTGATGATAAGAGCTGTTCTTCTTTTTTGGGGAGCATTTGATGCTTTGCAAACAGACTGATTCTGAAAGCCAACAAGCAGCAGATAGTACAAGAATGGAGATACTGGTGAGCTGCTCCAGCATCCCTGGCTACCCAGACTTCTCACTTATTTTCTCCCAGTATTCCTTTTAGATGTGGGTTTTTTTTGTTTGTTTGTTTGTTTGTTTGTTTTTCCTATTTGCAGAACTTACCATTTTGTTAAGAGAAGGTGAAGTGGTGTCTGCCCATTTCACAAACACTTCCCAGTATCTCCAAGATAGTATTGCTATATAGTCCTTGCTGGCTTTAAACTCAGGCTGCCCCTGCCTCAGCCTCAAGAGTGTTGGGGTTATAGACATGTGTTACACACCCCATTCTGTTTGTAGCCTGTTTTGTTCTTTGCGATACCTTTCCTACAGTCCACAGTTTGCACACCCACCTGTTCTGCATGCTCTGCCCTTTTGCATGGCAGCCTGTTCTACATGCTTTCTGCCCTACGCCCAGTTATTTGCCATCCTCAGGCTCCTGAGTTGGACCTGTCCCTCGTCCTGCATTGTACTCCACTTGAAGTCACTTTAGAACGTGTGGCCAGGAGACTGGCTCTCTGCTACTTAGACATCTAATGATTCTGACTTATCTCTCTCGGCTGAGGATTGGGGTCCAGGATTTTTCATTTAGAATTTTGAAGGCCTTCAGAGTCCTCACTGGACTGTGTGAATCTCTTCAGCTATGGGCTGATGAACCCCACTCCCTGCCCTGTAGAGGTCTTGGGGCCTATTTGCTTCTATTTATTTCTCTGTAGGACCTTAGTTTTTACTGTGCAATGAACTGATTGGCTGCTCACTTTTAGGTCTTTTCTTGTTGTTGTTCTTATAGATTTGTCCTTTAGTCCTTTCTTGACATGTTTTATTTAGATAGGAGGATTGAAAAAGGGAAAAAGATTTAATTTGCAAGAGTATGGTTTTGTTTTTTTGTTTTTCTCTTTAATTGCCCCTTTTTCAAGGGTCTGGGTTTTTGCTTTGTTTTTTGTTTTTTGAGACAGAGTTTCTCTGTGTAGTTTTGGTGCCTATCCGGGATCTCGCTCTGTAGACCAGGCTGGCCTCGAATTCACAGAGATCCGCCTGGCTCTGCCTCCTGGATGCTGGGATTAAAGGCATGCACCACTGCTGCCCAGCTGGGTCTGGGTTTTTTAGAGCGCAGAGTTTTCTGTCCACTACAGGATCTGCTTGTTTGTTTGTGGTCTTACTCTTTCCCACTGCAGGTGTAACTGTAAGAGAGAAGCTTGCGGGCAGGTGGGAAGGCTGTGAGGGGGTTGGGTCTTAGGACTTAGGGGCTTTGCTTACCTGGAGCAGGAGGAACCTTTGCCACAGGGACTGTCAGGTCTCCAGGCATCAGCACCAAGGGCTCCCATCCCAACTGGGTCAACTACCCATCAGATAGCTTACTTACCAGCAGCTAATCCATTCTTGTTTACTTGGGGATAGGTATATATTCCAATTCTTTGGCACATAGAGCCCCGTGGCGAGGTACCAGAGATACGATGGCATCCAAGACTCCCAAGAAGGCCTCTGTTCTCATGACATTGCCTTCTGAGTCCCAGGTTCCTGTCAGAGAGACTACTGATGCCCTACAGGAGTGTAGGTTTGTTGACTTTTTAGATATCTTCCTTATTTTTAAGTAATATCTTGAGAGGCAGATAGTGAGAAGCACAATTTGAATGTGAAATGCAGATAATGGGCCCTGACTGTCACATGTGAATGAGGGGTGGGTTCTCTGATTCTGGAGGCAACCACAGAGTTTCTGACTCAAGTGATAAAGGTTAGCAGGCTGGGGATTGTAGCACGAATCTTAAAAGTTCTTATTAATAAAAACAAACCTGGAGCCAGGTATTGGGGTGAATGCTAGAAGATCAGAGAAGCAGAACAAGCCATAGCCACCTCACCTCACCAATTCCTCAGCTGATCCTGTTTCCTCAGACTGGATGCCTCTCTGATGAACTGTGCTGCTCAAAAGCCTAAAAGCTTAACCAGGATCTAGTTCCTCATCCTCACGCCTTAAATACCTTCTGCTTCCTGCCATCACTTCCTGGGATTAAAGGCTCTTGTTACCACACCTGGCTGTTTCCAGTGTGGCTTTGAACTCACAGAGATCCAGAGGGATCTCTGCCTCTGGAATGCTAGGATTAAAGGTGTGTGTGCCACCATTTTCTGGCTTCTACATCTAGTGGCTGTCCTGTTCTCTGACCCCAGATAAGTTTATTAGGGTGCACAATATTTTGGGGAACACAGTACCACCACAGGGGATAAGAATTTTTTTTCCCCCATCAGCTTTGTAGTAAGGATCTGGGATTTATTAGTCTTGTTCCTGCTCAAATGGAGACTCATTGATAATATGATTAACCAGCTCTATAAGCATCAAATCAGATCCCGGGTATTGATATCCTCATGAAATAGATACGTTTAAAGTGAACTTTTGCCTCCAAAGCCATGCCATGTCAGGATGAGCATGTGTCTATCTGTGCTATAAACAGAAGTGTCATTCCAGCTCTGAGGGGTCAGCTAAACACCTTACTCCATCACACCAGTGTGTCACCAGTGTGAGGCCTTACTCCATCACACCAGTGTGTCACCAGTGTGAGGCTTTGCTCCATCACACCAGTGTGTCACCAGTGTGAGGCCTTACTCCATCACACCAGTGTGTCACCAGTGTGAGGCCTTGCTCCATCACACCAGTGTGTCACCAGTGTGAGGCCTTACTCCATCACACCAGTGTGTCGCCAGTGTGAGGCTTTACTCCATCACACCAGTGTGTCACCAGTGTGAGGCTTTACTCCATCACACCAGTGTGTCACCAGTGTGAGGCCTTACTCCATCACACCAGTGTGTCACCAGTGTGAGGCTTTGCTCCATCACACCAGTGTGTCACCAGTGTGAGGCCTTGCTCCATCACACCAGTGTGTCACCAGTGTGAAGCTTTACTCCATCACACCAGTGTGTCACCAGTGTGAGGCCTTACTCCATCACACCAGTGTGTCACCAGTGTGAGGCTTTACTCCATCACACCAGTGTGTCACCAGTGTGAGGCTTTACTCCATCACACCAGTGTGTCACCAGTGTGAGGCTTTACTCCATCACACCAGTGTGTCACCAGTGTGAAGCATTACTGCAGAGGAGCTGCGCTATCCTTTTACAATCTGTGTCACACTGGGCATCATAGCTCAAGGGTGCACTTTGATTCAAGAAGAGAAGGAATCTGTCTACCCATCCTGAGGATGTGGGTGCCCTATACCACACTGTGCAGAAACAGGAGCCAACACATTGCCCACTGGACACCAGTCAGGGCTTGAGGCACCATAGTTAAAACCATTACCCATTGTCATCTACAACCCACAGTATTAAGTGGAAAATTCCAGAAACAAACAACTCATAAGCCTTCATTTGCATTCTGAGTGGCAGGATGAATTTTGCAGTCTCCTGCTGTACCCTTCTCTGTCTGTGACCCTCTGTAATAGTGAAAAACTGTTTACTCATTTTGCTGCTTGTACCTCAGGCTGCCAAAGGTTTGGCCACAGTGTAGGATGGTGCCTGGGCCAGACAGAAAAAGCATCCAATGTAGATGTACATGTAGACAAAACCAGTCTATCTGTGGGTCCAGAGGTCTGCTGGGGTCCTTAGAATGTGTCCTCTGAGGGTAAGGGAATACATCTCTATTCCACTCCCTCCTCAGATCACCCATGAGGACAGACAGCATGTGACTGAATGGGTTATGTAGTCTGTCTGAAATGGTGGGGATGGGGGACAGGCGGCATGGTGACTGGAGTTGTGAGAACAGGGACACTTTTTGCTGTTTTGTTTTGTTTTGTTTTTTGGTTTTTCGAGACAGGGTTTCTCTGTGTAGCTTTGCGCCTTTCCTGGAACTCGCTTTGGAGACCAGGCTGGCCTTGAACTCACAGAGATCCGCCTGGCTCTGCCTCCCGAGTGCTGGGATTAAAGGCGTATGCCACCACCGCCCGGCCACTTTGCTGGTTTTAATGCTTGTTCATGTGGCCATCTGCTTGGAATGAGGAGCCAGTCACTGGGGGTCTATGGCAGTGTTCATGATGAGTGTGTCTTGATGGTAGGAGCACACTGAATATTCACACCAGGTTGAAAAGAGTGTTATCATCCTAGCCCCCAGAGTTAATGCTGTTTTCATCTTGCTGTGTGTCTTTCTAGATTTTCTTCTCTGTTCACAAAGAATCCTCACCCCAACTTTTTCTAAAACAGCACAGAGCGCTCAAAGCACTTCACCTCTGGGTTCCACTTTAGGTGCTTGGGCAGCTCCTGGGAGCTATAGTTCCACTTTTGACCTCCTGGGAGGGAGCTGAGGCCTGTCCTCTCCCAGCTAGAAGGCAGAATGGTCTGACAGATGATTAAGGCCTCTCTCCTTTCCCCACTGGGGTAGCATCTCCCTCCTGTTCTTCCTTTGGAGCTGTCCTTGCTCAGCTGTCTAAGAGCTGAAGGTCCCACCTCTCTTCCTAAACCTGCCAGAGTGATTCCCAGCAGCTGTCATGTCCGAAGTTGGCTTCTGACTTCTTTCTTGGTCATGTTTTACCTACGAGTCTTTGGAATTTTTTGGGGGGGTGGGAGGAAGATGCTTTCTTGGTGACATGTCTCTCTTTGCAGTTCCCAGTGACCTGACTGCAGAAGAGCGTCAAGAACTGGAGAACATCCGGCGGAGGAAGCAGGAGCTGCTGGCTGATATTCAGGTTGGAGGGGGCTGGGAGGCTGGCCAGTGTAGGGACACAAGGTGCCCTTAAGGGCTGGTGCTCCCACAGCTCTGACCAAAGTGTAGGTGTTAGTGGCTGCCTGTGACTGACCAGAAGTGGAGTCTCAGAAGGCCTGCCCTGCTGCTGCTTGTCAGAGCTTGAGTGACGCTGGGCGCTGTTTTGGCTCAGGTTTGCTGGCACCTTCTGTGGGTCCTGACTGCTCCTCACCAGCTGAGGGCATGGGCTGCAGCTCTGGTTCCTTTACTTCTCTCTTTCCTGGTCATAGGATGAGAACAACAACTCCCTCACACCTTCCCGTGAGGACATGACAAGGTGATCCCTGCAGATAGCTGGGATTGTAGACAGCAGTGTTGATGTTTTTCCAAGTTCCTTTTCATGACAAAGGCTGTGCTGGAAAGAGGGCCCAGGAGCCCTGTGGTGGGTTATTTTCCCTCTGAGCAGCTGGATGCTGCTCTTCTAAAACCCTTTCTAAGATTTCAGGGGTGAGGAAAGGAGGGCCTGGAACCTCAGCAAAGTGAGAGAGAGGATAGGTCCCCTTGCTGTTGGTGACTTGGGACTGTTTGGATGTTTTTTCCCCAAGTCTCTGGTAACTGCTAGGAATATGAAGGAGCTTCCACCCTCCCCTCTGCATGGAGACAGTCCCTCCCTTACAAGACTGAGTGAAGGGGAAGTCAGTGGCTGGTAGTGATTTTGATGCTGGGGGTGAATGGTCAGCAGATTTAGTGGGACATTCCCATGTCCAGTTATGGCAGCATGAAGCAGCAGTGTAGGTCCAGAACAGCCTTTGCTGGTCCAGCCAACCATGTGTGTGGGTGCCTGTGTGCTGTGAGTTCCATCATACCTGTGTTTGGGAACTGCAGACTGTTCTGAAAGACTATGCCAAAGTGGCTGTTCTTCATCGAGTACACCTTTTTAACAAAGTGCATGTGCCGAAAACGCTTCTTCCCTAGCCCAGGAACCGTGGGCCAAGTAGCTGCCTTCCCGCCTTTGCAGTCCTAAAAAGCTTACTGTCTGGTGGGAGCCCAGGAGACATTTGTTGAGTAAATCCATTCTCCTAGTTGACCTCTTAGAGTTTCTGCATGCGCCTTTGTTGTTGTTCTGTTCTGCTGTGTCGTGGTCTTGGGATGGAGGGAGTTGTGTGAAAGGTTTTGGAAGTGTCACTGAGGTCTGCAGCTCTCATCCTGGTAACTCCTGTTTACAGAGGCTGAAGGACGAGATAGCAGAAGTTGCTAATGAAATTGAAAGCCTGGGATCCACAGAGGAAAGGTGAGTCTGCCTTGCTGCTGGGTGGGCCTTGTGGGTCTAGCTCCCAGTGCACCACCCTTCCCCACAGGCTCTGGCATGTTCAAGGAGAAAGTAGGTTTTCTGCCTTGAGGTCCTAGCGATACACAGAAGCCTTCATGGCCTTCCTCTGAGTCCTCACTACAAGGATCTGAACATAGGAAACTTTTTTTTGGAGACATAGCCTTTCTACATAGCTTTGGCTGTCCTGAAACTCGCTATGTAGACCAGGCTGACCTGGTCACAGAGATCCACCTGCCTCTGTCTCCCAAGTGCTGGGATTAAAGGTGTGCGCCGCTATACCTGGCCACAGGACACCTTTCACATGTACAAAACCCAGCTAGAGAATTCAAAGGTACCTGAAAACCTTAAGTCAGCTGTTCTCAGCCTATGGGTCATGACCCCTTTGGGGAACGACCCTTTCACAAGAGTCACATATCAGATATCCTGTATATTAGATATTTACATTATGATTCATAACAGTAGCAAAATTACAGTTATGAAATTGCAACAAAATAATGTTATGGTTGGGGGTCAGCACAGCCTGAGGCACTGTATTAAATGGTCACAGCATTAGGAAGGTTGAGAGCACTGCTCTAAGTGCTCATAAATTGTTGTATAGATTATTTATTTCCCCTTCTGTTGTCCACTCTGTATGAATTTTTAAATTTTCTGTTTTACTTTTGTTAACGGAAAAGCCTAGTAAGTGCTGCTAATGTGATTTTCGAAGGCTGGTGTGCCCACTTTTGTGTGGTGTAATGTCAAGTTCACTTGCACTTCCTTATGCTTAAGGGAGAAGAATGTGGAAACGATTACAGTGTAAAATGACAAGATGTCAGTGACTTTGAATGGAATTCCCAGGCCGTTTCTACTGCCTCACTCGATAAATGATCTGCTTCCAGTTAGTTCCCTATGTGTCTGTGTTTTCTAAACCTAATCCTCCCTGTCTGACTTCATAAGGCCCTTTGATTTGTTATTTTAAACTTGTATGGGCAATGCCATTAGGGTTGAAGCTACAGCCTCCACAGAGAGCAGCCAGGAGGGCACTGTCAGCCTCTGGGATGTCTTTTAGGGTCACAGCTTTCTTACTTTCTATTACATTTTTTATTTTAGATTTAAAAATTTTTATGTATTGACTGCTTGGCCTGCAAGTATGTCTGTGCACTACATGTGTGCCTAGTGCCCATGGAAGTCAGAAGAGAGCATCAGATCCCCTGGAACTGAAGTTATGGATGGTTATGAGCTATCATGTGGGTGTTGGGAAGTGATCCCTGTTCCTCTGCAAGAGGCCACCTCTGCAGCCCCTTACTGTCTGTTAAAAAAAAAAAAACATAGAAATTGGTAGATTAAGAGTTTATCTAGGGCTGGAGGGATGGCTCAGCGGTTAAGAGCACTGCTTGTTCTTCCAGAGGTCCTGAGTTCAATTCCCAGCAACCACATGGTGGCTCACAACTACCTGTAATGAGATCTGGTGCTCTCTTCTGGTCTGCAGGTGTACGTGCAGATAGAGCACTGTATATGTAATAAATAAATAAATCTTTAAAAAAAAAAAAAAAGAGTTTATCTAGAGAGCCAGGGGGTGGTGGCACATACCTTAAACCCTAGCACTCAGGAGGCAGAGGCAGGCAGATCTCTGAGTTCAAGACCAGCCTGGTGTACAGAGTGAGTTCTAGGACAGCCAGGGCTACACAGAGAAACCCTGTGTGAAAACAAAGCAAACAAACAAAAGGGTTCATCTAGATTTAAAGCTACACCTGTAATTCCCGCACTCGGAAGGCAGAAGCAGGTGGATCTTTGTGACTTTGAGACCGTCCTGGTCTACATAGTGAGTTCCAGGACAGCCAGGGCTACATAGTGAGACACCATCTCAAAAACCAAAAACCAAACAAACAAACAGGCTAGGGATGTGATTCAGTGGTAGAATACTTGTCTGGCATGTGTGAGGCCCTAGATTCAATGCCACCATCAGCAGCTCTCCCACCGCAACAAGCAGGTAGTTGCTGAAGAACTAGGCAAGTCACAAAGTAGGGGAAGGTACCTGCAGCATGTGTGTCTGAGGACGACCTTGTCCAGAACAGACGCTCACACAGTGCAGTGACACGAGACTACCTGAGAAGGTGGACACAGATCCTGAGCAGATCGTCATGTAAGAGGCAGTAAATAATAGATGCTCTGGTCTGACGGCGGTTGTGCACGCCCTTTAATCCCAGCACTCGGGAGGCAGAGCCCGGCCTCTGCGAGTTCGAGGCCAGCCTGGTCTACAGAGCAAGATCCAGGACAGGCTCCAAAACTACACAGAGAAACCCTGTCTCGAAAAACCAAAACCAAAAAAAAATAGATGCTTGCGTGAAAGAGACTTAGTATCATTAGATATGAGGGTGAGCGATGTAAAACTACCATAAAACACAGCCTCACATATCCTGGAATGGCTAGAATCAAAAGATATTAAATATACGTCCAGTGCTGATACCCAGCAATTCGGGTGTTTACTCAAGAGAATGAAAATATGCCCACAAAAACCTTTACCAAGGATATTTACAGCATTCTTATTAAAATCGACCAAGCTAGAAATTGCCCACCTGTCTACCAGTAGGTGAATGCATAAGTAGGCTGGGACAATGGCCCATTACTCAGTAGTACTGGAGGAGCATACTGATCCGGTGCAGGAGCGTGTGCAGGCCTCACAGACACAGACACAGACTAGAGAAGCTGTTCGTGTGTGTGTGTGTGTGTGTGTGTGTGTGTGTGTGTGTGTGTGTGTGTGTGTGTGTACATAGTACCACATGGACATAGTACATACTTCTGTCATAAAGCTGAGACGAAAACCAGGACGCACTATTAGGAATGGCAGTGGATTCTGGCAGGTGTCAGAGGGAGCCCTGACCAGAACCTAGTGGGAAGATGGGAGCAGGCCTTCTGGGGTGGTCACCAGGGCACGCATACCTGTCAAAACTGTGAATGGGGCACTTAGGATGTGAGCCTTGCACTGAATGAGAATTATTGTATTTTAAAAGCAATAAGAAGGAGTCACACCATACAACAGGGCTCTTGGGGAAAGGACAGAGAAGAGAGCAGAAACGGTCCCTGAGGACGAGAATGGAGGAAGAGAAAGAGATAGGAGGTGGGCAAGGCCCGCTTTTATTATAAGGAAAGCAGCGAATGTGCACATGGGGTGCTCTTGGTGGTTGCAGCTGAGGACATATTCTGTCAGGATCTAAGGGCAGGCCAGTACAGATGGCTAAATGCTAACAATCTCTGAATTAAAAAAATCAAATTATTGGCCTTTTCCTGGTTCTAAGTGAATTTTTTTTAATTTTAAAAATTACATTTATTTATTTATATATTTAGTGGAAGTGAGCACATGTGCCTCAGCACACACGTAGCAATCAGGACAACTTTGTGGAGCTAGCTCTGTCCTATTGTGTGGGTCCAGGGGATTGAGTTTAGACGGTCTGCTTTGCTGCAAGTCCCTGTGCCTGTCGAGTCATCTCACTACCCAGGAATGTATGTTTATTGCAGTAAACTAGCAAAAGATGGAAAAGCACGAAGAAAGCAGATTTCCCATGATCAGCAACCCAGAGAGAACCACAATTAATATCATAGTCTACTTCCTTTATGTGTCTTTTGGTGCCAGCACACATACATGGAATTCGGGAGACTGTTTGCTTAGTGTCCTGTGGGTTATCACAGTCCCAGTGGACTGAAGACCCCCACGGTGTCAGCAGCTAGGCACTGGGAACACTCAGCTGGTGAACTTAAGAAAACCAGCTCTCTGTTCACTGGGCTTAGTTCTTTTCATGAAGTCCTGATCTGCCCGTCCTGAGCTAGAGAATCGTGCCTCGTTTGAAGGTGCTCTATCTGAGTGGACAATGGGATACCGTGGTTTTGAGTAAACAAGCAACACCATCATCTGATGAAGTTTAAAACATGAAGAATGCCCGTAAAGGTGACGTGTAAGGGCGGACAAGGTGGCTCAGCACACAAAGGTGTTTGTTGGGCAAACCTGCTGGCCTGCGTTCAGTCTCTTAACCTGTGTAAAGGGGATAGAGAACTGACTCCACAAAGCTGTCTTTTGACCTCCACACCCATGCATGCACATCATGTGGGTGCACACAAACAAAATAAATAAAAAATTCAAAGGTGACATAAAGAAAAAAGACCAACTTTCATCAGTGCATCTGGTGCTTGGGAGCCCAAGAGCCACATGTCAGTGATTTTCGGTTTAAACTCTGGAGTTTAAGCTAGTTTTCCAAAGATCAAAAGGAGAGCTGTTCTGCAGGTTCTGAGCTTCTGTGTAGTCGGGATTTCTTATTAATTCTGGCTTTTCCATAGGTGTGTTGTCGTGCTTGTAATCAAAGGCCTAATCAGCATTCTGTAGCAATAACTCCAAACACTATGTAAGAAGTAGAGAGAACGTAATACTGTGAGACATAAAGCTTTCTCAAGTTGACCTAGTTGATGCAACTGGTGTCCAAGGGAGACTGTGTTGCAGTTAGGATGGCTGACCCATAGGCACTAATGACATTAGCCAGCCACCTCCAGTGACTGTCAGTCAGAGACAACAATGGATAGCTAGGGGCAGGAGCTGACTTATGCAGAACTGGGAACGTTAGCCAGCTGAGTCCTGGGAGTATACCAGGCAGTCATAAGCTACAATGCCGAATGGCTAGGGGTGGGAGCTGATTCATGGGGAGCCAGTGAAGTTAGCTAGCCACTCCTATAAGCTCTCAGAGTGGTCAGAAGCAGCAATAGTAGCTGGCAGAGATCTGGAAGTGTACTATTGAAGTCTAGACTCTTGGTTCTGGGCTTGCCAGAGGCACAGGAAGCCTTCAGTAAGGAACCAGACCAAGGCAAAGGATGCTGAGGGCCCTTGTGGGTGTTTATGTGCCTTGCCATTGTAGGGCCTCTAAGTATTGCATACTCTAATAGGAAACCAGCTGCTTTTTTCTTGGTTTTTGTTTGTTTGTTTGTTTTGTTTTTTGTTTGTCGTTTTTTGGTTTTGTTTTGTTTTTTTTTGACCTGAGGATTGAACCCAGGGCCTTGAGCTTGCTAGGCAAGCACTCTACCACTGAGCTAAATCCCAAACCCCTTGTTTTTTGTTTTGAAATACGGATCAAAGTAGTATTCTTGGATTTAGGGAAAATGTAATTAGATAACCTGAGACTCATACCTGTTCATTCCAAACCTCAAGTCAGCCTAGCCAAGCATGGTGGGTTCATGCCTGTAATCCCAGTATTTGGGAGGCAGAGACAAGAGGATTGTTGTGAGTTTCAGCTCACCCTGAGCTACAGAGTAACCTCTCTGTCTCAACCAGGAAAAAAGAAAAGAGGGACTTTCTATTATTATTATTATTATTATTATTATTATTATTATTATTATTATTATATTATTATTATTAAAGAGATTTTCTATTCATTTTACATACCAACTACAGATACCCCTATCCTCCCTCCTCCCACCCCCTCAACCTTCTTCCCTAACCCACCTCCCCATTCCCACCTCCTCCAAGGCATGAGGAGTCAGCAGAGCCTGGTATATTCAGTTGAGGCAGGTCCAAGCCCCTCCTCCCTGCACCAAGGCTGTGCAAAGTGTCTCACCATAGGTACTAGGCTCCAAAAAGCCGACTCATGCACTAGGGACAGGTCCCGACCCCACTGCCTGGGGGCCCCTTAAACAGTTCAAGCGAGACAGTTGTCTCACCTATCCAGAGGGCCTAGTCCAGTACCATGGGGGCTCCTCAGCTATTGGCCCACAGTTCATGCATTTCCACTAGTTTGGCTGGTCATCTCTGTGCTTTTTCCCCTCATGGTCTCGATGTCTCTTGCTCATAGAATCCCTCCTCTCTCTCATCGTTTGGATTCCTGGAGCTCGGCCTGGCACCTGGCCATGGATCTCTGCATCTGCTTCTATCAGTCTACCTTTGGGGATTCAGTCAGTGCTGATGTGCCCCTTAAGACAATAAATAAGTTGTTTCTGAATAACTCATTTGCTCAGAAACTGTAAAATTACTGTTGGTTCCCAAGTGTACACCAGACTTACAGGAGGTTTTAAAAATGTCACCTAGACTCTAACCCCTAAAACTTCTGAGTCACTAACCCAGAACCTGTAACTCAGTTTGTCTGTGGGATTGGATAAAATGAGCAGGAGCCCTGATCCCTTCACAGACACATTAGGTGTGTGAGTGAGAGCTGGCATTCTACATCTGACTTGCTCTCTTAGCTGTTTGTGACCACACCTTGAGAAGCATGGTCTGTGAACTTGCATTTGTTTAGGCTGATGCACAGTTAAGAAAACTGTTGCTTGTTTGTACAGCATCTTAAAAAGTTAAATATAAAAGTACTACATGACCTGTCTCGATACAACCTTTCTGCCCAAAAGAAAGGAAAACGTGTCCACCACAAAGGTGGACATGTGCTGATAACAGACCCGTATGTAATGACCCCAATCTTGGCTCTGTCATCTGAAAAGAGATGGAGGTAGACATGTAGAGGAACGTCACTAAGCAGTAGGCAGAGTGTTGTGCCAAAAACCTTGAAGACAGCATGCTAAACAAAAGTCTAGATGCTCCAGATTCTGTCCACACAGAAGCTCCAGAACCAGGCAGATCTGTGCACAGAAAGTTGACTGAGAGCTCTTGGGGGTTGAATTAGGAATGTGGGTAAACTGGAAATGGGTATGGGGAATTTTGTTGGACTGATGAAAATGTTCGAAAACTGGTTACGGTAATGGTTGCACAACTTAGCTTACTAAAAGCTTACACTTAAAATGGGCAGATTCTACAATATGTAGACGACAAAGCTTAAGAAAATAAAAATTCTAAGAGAAACCATGAATCTAGAGGGAAAGAGGGAAATGAGCCTGAGCCTGGGCCAGGGCTTCAGCTGACCATGCTTAGCTGGACCAGTCTTCCAAAGCTGTCAGCAGCTGCATGTGAGGACTGCTCTAGCCCCCGCCAGAACTCCCTGCTGCCAGAGCACTAATGGCTACACTTCTCTTTCAGGAAAAACATGCAGAGGAACAAACAGGTAGCCATGGGCAGGAAGAAATTTAACATGGATCCTAAAAAGGTAAAAAGCAAAAACAAAAGTGACGAAGACCAGGGTCTGAAGGCGGGGCTTTCTTAGTGGTCACGTGGGAGCCAGAGGCGTTTTTTCTAGGCTACAGTTCTCTGGACTGGATGTTGGGTGGTTCCCCCTATTGTCTTGAGTCTGGGGCTCTAGTTCCTAACCTGCAGTGCCTCTGTCCACATCTACTGGTGGATGTTTCTTGGATGTGCTCCAGGGCCCATGACAGCCTCTGCCTCCCTCGTTGTCACCGGCTCTTTCTGGTCTTTCTGCAGGGGATCCAGTTCTTAATAGAGAATGACCTGCTGAAGAACACTTGTGAAGATATTGCCCAGTTCTTATACAAAGGGGAAGGGCTCAACAAAACAGCCATTGGTGACTACCTTGGGGAGAGGTGAGGCCTTTAGAGAGGGTGTTGTCAGAATCATGGGAGGAAACAGCCCCCTGGTGCCCAAGTTCATGGGGTGGCTGTGGTACGAGGGCAGCAGTAGCCATGTGGTGTTGAGTGGAAGTGTTCTGAGGAACACTAACTTACCTGTCCAGGGGTATGCACACTCCTTGCTTGTTTAGTTAGTAAACAGAGCCAGTCCAGTGTCCTCCTATGGATGGCCAGACTTGAGAGGCCTCCTGGCCTGGGACTCAGGAGATACCATCTGCTTGGGATCAGGATGGGTGTTGGCCTTGGTGTCAGGGATCTGACTTGTGCTCCATCCCTGCCTCTGTTTGTTTCCTGACAGAGATGAGTTCAGCATCCAGGTCCTGCATGCCTTTGTAGAGCTGCATGAGTTCACTGACCTGAACCTCGTCCAGGCCTTGCGGTGGGTATTGTCAGTGGGGCACCGTGGAGTGGGCGCGTGACCATCCTGTATGCTGTTGGACTACAGTCCTGTCGTTGGGGGTTGTTGTAACTATCTTGAAGTATTTCAGGGGAGGCCATGTGCATGCCTATGAGTGGGAAAGCATTTGCTAGGACTGGTCTTGGTCTTGGGGGTGGAAGGACTGTTCAGTACTCAAATATTGCAATTGTTTCTACTCTTCAGAGTAGAAAGCCCTTTAATTTCTTATCATAAACTAGGTAGCTGTGTATTTCATTTTAAAAGGAAAAAAATCAACTTTTTTTTTTAATTTGGTTTTTCGAGACAAGGTTTTTCTATGTAGCCCTGGCTGTCCTGGAACTCGCTCTGTAGACCAGGCTGGGCTTAAACTCACAGAGATCCTCCTGCCTCTGCCTCCAGAGTGCTGGGATTAAAGGCATGTGCTACCACTGCTTAGCAACTTTAATTTTTTAACAAAGCGTATTTTGTGCCTTTTGAAGAAACTGTCTTTTTAATTTTCTCTGCTGTAGGTATAAATCCTGAGGTTATTTTTTGAGCAGTAATTGCAGAACTAAACCCATGGCTGTGGGTTTTAATACTCTGAATGAATCTTTACCTTAGAGTTCATTTTAAATGATTAACATCTGTGCTTCAGTTCTGAAGAGGGGGAGCTGTTCTTTGGAATAGGAAAATCTCAGTTTCTCAGTTTACCTAAGCACCTTACCTCCAGTTAAGGCCACAGTGATAGGCAGTGGCTAAATTTGCTTCTGTTCAATTTCTGTAAAAATGGACTGAAGCCCCCTCACCTCCCTTTGCCCCCTGATACTAAAGTGGACGGAAGCCCCCTCACCTCCCTTTGCCCCCTGATACTAAAGTGGACGGAAGCCCCCTCACCTCCCTTTGCCCCCTGATACTAAAGAGGATGGAAGCCCCCTCACCTCCCTTTGCCCTCTGATACTAAAGCCACAACCAGCAACAGAACAAGTCAAAGCAATGCTCCTGTCTCCACCCTTAGGCAGTTCCTATGGAGCTTCCGGCTCCCTGGAGAGGCCCAGAAGATTGACCGGATGATGGAGGCCTTTGCCCAGCGGTACTGTCAGTGCAATAATGGGGTGTTCCAGTCCACAGGTGAGTGAGGGGTCCTCGTGTGAGTGTGGGAGGAGAGCTTTTTCCATAAGGTTCTCTTCTTGGCAGTGAAGGATTTCTAAGACAAGAGGCTGAGTCCATGTCAAGAACAGTTTCTTTTCCTTTTCTTTTTCTTTTTTTTTTCTGGAGCTGAGGACTGAACCCAGGGCCTTGTACTTGCTAGGCAAGCGCTCTACCACTGAGCTAAATCCCCAACCCCCAGAAACAGTTTCACCTCTCCAGGTGAAAGATTGGAAGCATCCAGAAGACCACCACTGAGGCACAGTAAGACCTAGTTGTGGCTTAGTGGTAGAGTACTTGCCTCATGTGCATGAGGCCCTGGGTCAGAATTACCCAACATGTAACTGTTGAGGATGTCTCTACAGCTGGCTGCTGTAGCGTTTGTCTGTCGTCCTAGTTACTCAGGAGGGAGACGCAGAGTTACGACTGTAGTCAGCTAAGTACAGCCTTGTCTGGGAAGGAAAATCGTGATCTTATCAAGATATTGGCGTGGAAAAATGATAAGATCAACAAAAAGGCATATGTATGCGTATATATGTATGTGTCTGTATATATGTGTGTGTACATGTGTGTATGTATATATATGTGTGTGTATGTGTATATGTGTGTGTATGTGTGCGTATATGTGTGTGTATACATGTTTGTGTGTTTGTGTATATATATATATGTATGCATGTATGTGTGTGTGTATGTGTGTATATATAAGTGTATGTGTATGTATGTGTGTGTATATATCACTTGTATATGTATGTGTATGTATTTGTCCCCTAGGTAAGTATGTATCCCATATGTATGTATTGGGAGGACAGTGTGTTACAGTGTCTATAAAGTGATTTTATTACATAGTCACATTTATATAGAAGAAAAAAGCAGACCAAATTATTACTGAATTGTAAGCAGAAGTGGAGTTTTTCTGTCCCAACCTCCCAGTTCCAAACAAACACACAAACGCTTATATTAATTACAGAATTCTCAGCCACTAGCTCAGGCTTATTATTAACTAGCTCTTACTTTTAAATTAACCCATTTCAGGTTGGGGATTTAGCTCAGTGGTAGAGCGCTTGCTTAAAGGCCCTGGGTTCAATCCTCAGCTAAAAAAAAAAAAAGAAAAGAAAAAAGAAAAACAAACAAAGAAAAAAAAGTTCCTTACTTAAAAAAAATTAACCCATTTCTATTCATCTATGTATTGCCATGTGGGCTGTGGCTTTACCAGTCCTCTGGCATCTTGCTTCTTGGGCGGATCCCTCGAGTCTCACCCGACTCTGCCCTTCTCCATCCCAATCCTCAGTTTGATTGTCCCACCTAACTTTATCCTGTCTTGATATAGGCCAAACAGCTTTATTATTAACCAATGAGTGTAATACATATTCACAGCGTACAGAAGGATCATCCCACAGCACTAAATAGAATTGTAGGTAGTTTTTATCTTTTTTATACATTGTATTGGTTTGGAGTTTTGTTGTGTGGCCCTAGATGGCCTGGAACTCCCTTTAGAGACCAGACTGTACTGGAACAAGAAATCTGCCTCCTGAGTGCTGGGACTAAGGGATGCTCCCAGCTGGTCATTTTATTGTTTCCCTATTCCTTTCTGTCTGAAGAAACTGAGTGGCTTCGGTACACTCATGTGTCTTGTCCCTTTCAGGAGCGTAAGCCTGGGAACAAGAGTGTGTGCTCGGCTCACCCACTCTTCCTGCCCATGATCTTGTATTCTTGATCTTATTCAGTTTAGTGTCTCCTGTCCTGGGTGGGTGTTTCCTTTGCTCTCACATCCTGTTTTTCTCTTACCTAGACACTTGCTACGTCCTCTCCTTTGCCATCATAATGCTGAATACCAGCCTACACAACCCCAATGTCAAAGACAAGCCTACAGTGGAGAGGTTCATTGCCATGAATCGGGGCATCAATGATGGAGGAGACCTGCCTGAGGAGTTGCTCCGGGTGAGCAGGGCCAGAGCGGCTTCATTTCATCTGACAAAGCGTTTGCTCAGAACAGGATCATTTTTGTAGGAGAAGAGACGGGATATCTTGCCAAGTGCCTGCTCTCTTAATTCATTTAAATATGTGAATTTCACAAAGGCCAGCTGAGAAACAGGAAGGGGAAGAGGCTTCTAAATCTGAAACTAAAGGCTTGAGTAGACTCCAAGCTGCTATTTTTTTCTTCCTTAATTATCCACCAGGCATCTTATTTTTGTCCCTGTAAGCTGCTGTAGAGCAGAAAAATGGTTGGTTTTTCTCTAGTCCTTACCCCAGGCTCACAGTGAATGCCTGTGGAATGAGTAGAGAGGGGAGAAAGAACAGCTGCTTTTAGAATGAGACGTGCAATGTCATCTTCTATCCCAGAACCTCTATGAGAGCATAAAAAACGAGCCCTTTAAGATCCCAGAAGATGATGGCAATGACCTCACTCACACTTTCTTCAATCCAGACCGAGAAGGCTGGCTGCTGAAACTCGGTAAGTAACCTTCCCCAGCTTGGGGTCCCTGCAACAGGAAGAAGGGCTGTATGCTCATAGGCTTGGGGTGTGGGGAAGGGGGCATGTCACAGGCGTCCCACAGAGACTGCCCTGAGTTGTGTTCTTACAACAGTCCACCTCCAGACAGGAAGCTGCTGAAGCCACTCACCATAGAACGGAGACTCCTGGACACAGATTTTGCCTTTATAAACATTGCCCATGTGTATCTGAGCCCTCTGTGTTCACTCCTGAATAGATGGCCATGTTCTATGAGGCACTTTCTATGATCCACCACCCGCCTCTGCCTCCTTACCCTTGGGAGGGTAACCAGCCATATCCATCTCTCTACTTCCCATCCCAGATTTATCCCTGCACTCCTGCCCCACCCAGTGCATCATCACTTCCCTCTGCATCTGGCTCCCACAGGCAGTGTGCATGGCAAATCTAGAGCCCTTGGCTGCAGCGCAAACCACAGCACTCTTCCTCATGCTCTGGCAGTGGCCCCCTTTCCGGTCCCAATCAGCCCCATTAATGATTGTGTCATCAGAAGCTGCAGGTTCATTTCTCTTCCCTCTGCCAGAAGTGAGCCTGTATTGTTAAGATTTATGGTCATGCCTTGCCAGGAAGGTGACAGAGTAACTAAACAGAAGAAATTCAGTGGGTTCTCGTGCATATTCATGTCCACCCGTGGTTGCTTTATTATCAGACATACGAGAGGTCTCTGAACTCTCTGGACATGAAAATGTTCAAATTTTTTGACCACTAGAGAGCACATTCCAGTTTCCTTCTGCCTTGGCCTTTGATGAGCTGAATCCCATATCAGCAGGGCATATTCTACTGGAGACATGGTCTCCTTCCGTCTCGGTGACTTGCCCCATAAGCAGCATCTTGGCCATTACTGACACATCCATGGAAAGTAAGATGCATGCCCTCTGCTGCTAACTCATCCAGATAGCTTAGGGCTGACATCCCTCTAAAAGGCCCAAAGCATGTGTTTACACATGACAGTTCATAAAGTCCTTTCAAGTACTGCTTCACAGATTAGAGCCTTGCAGTATCTGACCGTGGCCAACAGTCAGTAATCTCCAAGCAGAGGGTCTGATTGAAGGCTCTGAAATGGTTAATGCATGGGTAACCTTCTCCACATTCTTCTTGCCCAACCCAGAGAGTGAAGAGGAAATGTGCCGGGAATTTCAAAAGTGTGTCCAAATTTAGATTTACTTCCCTCCAGGGAGATTTGTTTCCATGCGAATGCTAAGTGTTGGCTTTGACAGCTGAGACACTAAAATTAGAACAGATATTATCTTGGCTCTTGGACCAGGATGACATGCAAATTCATGAGGCATCCTATATTTTTAAAAGTCAAAAATTTAAGCTGAGTGCAATGGTGCACACCTGAGATCCCGGACACTTAGGAGACAGAGCAGGAGAATCCCCGGAGCCCATGAAATCAAGCCAGCTTCGTGCTAGAGCAAAGCCTCATCCCAAAGAATAGAAATCTAACAGTATGGGACTCATTTATCGTGGGGCCATTGCTTCACATTTCCTAATTGCCTAGACTCCCGATAGGGTGTTTCCATTGTGGCACACTGAGACTCAGTCCTTTGTGTGTGTGTGCTGCACAGGGTAGGGCTCTGTGCCATCTGTAGTTGTCTGTATATGTCCCTGTATGCAGAGAGCCATAAGCATGTGTGTCCTTGTGTACACACATGTGTACATGTATATCCATGGGTGTACAAATGTGCATCCTTGCACACATTTATAAAGTGATGAGTGTCTTAAGGAAGATACTGACTTTCTCAGAAGTGCTGCACATCCCCCTCTTTGCTCTGGATTGTGAGGAGTCTGGCAAACGCTGACCTTACAATAATGGATTTGTGGCACTGTTAGGCCAGGTGTGGGTAAGGCCTCCAACCTTGCGGTACAGCATGGGTGGTCCCCTGCCCATCAGTGTTTCCAGGTTCACCTCCCTCTTCAGGCATACATAAATGTGACTGGTACGCTGCACTTTAAGATTGAGGAACTGGGTTTGATTTCTTTGTTTTAATTTTCTTTTCTCCTCATTTATGTTTCCATGATTTTGGCTCTCCTTTTCCTTGCCCCAAACTCCAGGAGGTATGTAACCCTGCAACCTGCTCGCTCACTCTGCCCAGGCCACTGTCATTGCTGCAGCGTTTTTTTACTTTGTTATTTTTGGTTATTTTGTTTTTTAATTGCTGGTAGTAGTGTTAATGCTGCTTCTAACTTACTGTACAGTCCCTAGGGAACTGGCCAGGATCAGGGGTTTGGGGCAGTGCTCGAATTTCCTCTTGGTGGAGGAGAGAGTGGTTCAGCAGCCACCAGCCCGGAGGTCCCCAGCTGCGAGTAGTCGTGCAGTCCTAGCCCAGAGCGAGCTGAGCAGAGAGGCACTGGCTTCCTGCTCCCGGGAATTACTGCATTCAAATTGACACCCGTGCGTCAACCTGATCAAAAGTAATTTCTGACGTGAGGAAGCAGAGAAGAGGGTGCTGCCTTGTAACTTCCCAAAGCCATGTGCTTCTGACACCATGGTGGATGAAGGAGTTGAGGAAAGCCTAAATTAGATGGCACTTGGGGCATTGCCTTTCTATGAAAGAGAGAAATGGTGTCTTCCAAACCCCAAAACCAGAACCCCTACCTGTAGTCCTTGATTCCATTTCTTGAGTATCAGGGAGGCCTCACAGCCTGGATCCTCTGTCTGTGTTTCTAATGGTGCAAATACTCCTCTGTTTCAGTCATCCTCAAAACCCAGATTGGCCTCTTAGTTCTCTGGTTGCTGATATGGGGGAACATATGGAGGAACTGAGTGCTCCTCGGGTCTATGTCTAAGCCTGACTAGAGCAGAGCTGCCCTAAGAGAACAGACACAGGCCCCCTCCAGTGCTTGGAGCAGGCAGGCTGGCCTGTTAGGACAGTGTCAGTCCTTCTGTCTAAGGGAGGGTCTGTGGAGCCCTGCGTGGGAGGGGGTCCTGTGAGTTCCACAGGGACTGTCCTAGGCGCACATTGATCTGTCTGCTTGTCCCATGTCTGTTTTTCTTTCCACGTGGAAGTGTTCCCCGTGGGCCCGCAGCGATGCTTTGTGGTAGAGGGCTCTGTGGTGCAGCCAACTGTCCAGGGGACGTAATGAAGCTTTTATAACCAGACACAACTTCCCAGCTCTGCTTTTCCTCCTTGATTTCCTGCCGTCTTGTTTCTTTTGGTATCTAACTTACTTTTTCCACCATTTCCTGAGTCCCATTGTCTCCTGGGGTAGTGTCTTGTGACAGAGTGCATGGGAGGTCAGCATGGGTTGACCATCCTTGTGTACCAAGCCCTGTACGAGAAATGGTCTCCCCAAGAGGCTGGAAGACAGAAGCTCTCAGCTTAGAAATGGGAAGGGTCCACTTTAAGACAAACTGCCTTCGGTTTTGAGCACACTCTTCGTCTTCCTTTTCATCTGTTCTAGTTCTGCCCAGCCCTCCCTGTTGCCAACATGCATGTCATATCTTTTCTTACATCTTTTCTCATTTGTGCCACTTAACCTTGGGGTGCTTCCCTAAAACTTAGAGATCACCATGAGGGAGAGTGCCTCACTGTATGCCACGTAGGAGACATGTTTGTTGGCACATGATTGCTCGTGGCATACTCCATCTGGAAACCTAGGTCTCAGTCATTTAGAATCTTGTAGTTAATGGTGGCTGCTTACATCTCCTTCCCTACCCCTCCAGTTCAGGCACCCAGGCAAAGCTGTAAAATACCCCAGAAAGGTCTAGGTCCTAATCTGTTCTGCTGGACCTCTTTTCTCAAATTTCAGGGATGAGCCTGCAGGCAGATGCTGGCATTTGGAAACAGTCTTTATAAAGTTTCCCTGCTCTGCATGGCTGTTAGCAAGAGGTCAGGAGAGTAGGCATGGCAGGTGTCCCACTCCCCTGCCCTCCATGGAGCCTATGGAGAAGTGATATTCTCCATAGTTGGGCCCTAGCAAAGGGCAAGTGCTAAGGATCAGGGAGAGGGTGTTCATGCAATGTCGTGTGTGTATCAGCATGGGAAGGCCCTGGGTAATTCTGAATGGTTCGTGTCAAGACAGTCTTCCCTTGACCAGAGGTAAGTTGTGAAAGTGAGGATCCTGAGCATGATGCAAGTGAGGATAGAGCTCCCTTCAAGTGGACACAGTTAAGCACATCCTTCCCCATACCCAGCGTAGAGTAACCTCATAGAGTATTGGAGAAGACTGAGGAAGGCCCTGGCCAGCAGCTAGTCACCACCTCCTGGCTGTTAATATTGCCTCTTGTAGTTACGTAGTTTTCAGGAGTCACATGAGTCCACAGTGGGAAGGCTCCTGAGCCCACCTCTTGGATAATCTAGTCCTTTCCTGGGGAAGGAGTCCTGCTTCAGTTCACACCTAGAACTCTGGGGATATGACTTTCAGGACACTAACTAAAGGGACTGAAGCCAGTGTAGCACTTCACCACAGGCAGGAGGGTGAGGGAAGCCCATGGATTGGTTGTAAGGGCTCACAGTACCTCACTTTCTGGATCTTCTCTCCTGTCACTTGGGTGGAACTCCCTGCCCATGCCACCTGTGTCAGGGTGCTGACTCTCCCTTCTTCCTTTCCTTTCTTCGCCTGTCTCTATCACACAGGGCATGGCCAGCTCCTCCAGCCTGAAGTACACTTGCATTCCACCATCATCACCCTGGGACTTCCTCCCTAGCCCATGCTCTCATCTTGCTGTCTGGGACATCTCAGGGTGTCACCCAGACACGCTTGCTCTGCTCATACCATAGACTTTCACTCTGTGAAAGATGCTTCTGTCTTGGCTGTGTCTTGTCACTGATGTAAATTTTGCCATAGTCTTAAGTGTTCTCCTGGTATCCTGCCCGATCCCATCCCCTCCCTGAGAAGAGAGCTGTGTGTGTGTGTGTGTGTGTGTGTGTGTGTGTGTGTGTGTGTGTTTGTAGCATGCACCTGCCTTGGTGTCTCGTGTCAAGAGCATCTTCTTTTTCCTCTCAGGTGGCAGGGTGAAGACCTGGAAGAGGCGCTGGTTCATTCTGACTGACAACTGCCTTTACTACTTTGAGTACACCACGGTGAGCTTCCTCTGGTCCACCTGGGGCAGGCTGGGCCAATCCTCTGCTTCCAAACCACTCTAACCAAACATAGCTAGAGGGGACTGGAGAGACAGTCAGATCTGTCCTGTTCTGGGGGTCAGGGAAGAACCAAGGTACATCTCAGAATACAGCACCCTAACAAGGATGTAGAGTGGCTGGCCAGGAGGCTGTGACCCAGAGCAACACCTGGTTCTAGAGACAACAGGAGGCACAAGTACCAGAACTGAGAGGGAGCAGTGGACATAGTGTTGGGGGCTGGTTTGGAGCTGGGCTGGAAACAAGGAACTTGGGTCAGTCGCCAAGAAAGGCTTGTGACGCTAGCAAAAGGGATAATAACTGTGATTTGGAGAATTTAGATTTCCTGTAGTCCCAGAAATGCCGAAAGGTTTGATTGAGAAGGAGCAGCCCAGTGATAAGACGTACAGTAGAGGGAAAGGAACAAAATAGGAAGGGCTGATCTGAGAGAACCCGGAGTTTGGGGAGCTGAAGTCTCCTCACATCATGGAAGTTCTGTTGGTATCCTTTATAGTGTAGGAATAAAAAGGACCCAGTACAGTTCCTCCAGGCTTCCTGTGGGCAGAGCATTCAGAAAGCCAGAGGTTGTCGGTGCTCAGACTGTGACTCCCACACTGGTGACATGGCACTCTGGTGCCATCTTCCTGGGCACCTGCAAGCACAGAGTGGTTCTTCTTGCATGCATATTGGACTTGGGTCTCAAACTAGGTCAGTGTAACTAACTTGGCTGGATCCTCTCTGAGTAAAAGTCATTGATCCCACTGAGAAAACAGGGTTGAAGCCTCATTTGTGGTAAAGGTGGAACAAAATGGTGTTTAAGTAACAGTTAAACAAAAATCAGCAGGAGGATTACCACAAGCTTTAGGCCAGCTTGGGCTACATAGTGAGCTCCAGGCTAGCTGCATGGAGTTAGCAGGTTCAGTTCAGTCATTCATGCTAATGATGTGCTGTGGACCTGGCAGGAAATTGTTTCCAAAGTACTTCTCGCAGGGCCTCACTCATGCTGCCCAAGTTCTGCAACTAGCTTTGCTTTTCTGTATTTAAAGTCTTTTCAAATGTTGGAACAATATGTTAAGTATATAAAAATGGTAAGAGTCTCCCTGTTCCATCCCCCAGGGTACTGTGGACAAAAGGCTCAGCAGGTTCCCTTCCGGGGCCCTTCCTTCCTTTGACTTTAGAGGGTCTAGGCAGCAAGGAGAGGTTTCCCAGCAAGGGCTGCGAAAACACTGACAGAGTAACCCTAGTGAGACTGAGTGCGTGGGATAAGACAACCAGACCAGGAAAGGGCACAGCTGGTGTGGGCGTCCTGCTCTCTGACAATGGGAAAGAAGTCACAGCTGGAGTTGCAGAGTGGTTCTGCTGCAGCCTGGGCATGAGCTCAGCCCACTCCACCCTTTGGCCTGGAGGAAGACGCAGGCTGGCAAGAGTGCATGGAATGAAGTCCACTGTGGGTAAAGGATGGGGAGTGAGCAGACAGGACTTCTCTCTGTGACGGGATGGTGCATTCTCCCGGGAAGCTGCCTTTGGGGCTTCTGGGAGCCAACAGGTAGAGTCAGCTCTTCCCTGGACAAGCTTCACAGGAGCTTCCTCCAGCTCTCTTAGGACACTGTAGAAAGTACAGAATAGCAAACACCTGGCCCCCAGAGAGTCCAGGAAAATCATCTAGGGTCACTTAAATAGTGACCAGAATGATCTAGAAGGCAGAACAGGACTTCAGCTCATGAGAGCCAAAGCTGCGCATTTCTAAATCACTATGGAGCTATGGAGTTGTGGCTCATTCTTTAGCAAGTCTGTGGACTTTAAGGAGTGGGACATATTAACTAAGGATGTCCTCACTTTCTGCAGGAAGGCAGCAAAATTAGAAGTAAGCACCAGGTGCTGGGCACAGGACACAGTTTCAGTGCCAGGAAGTCGATACCTGCAAAATCAGTTTTGTACCGGTGGAATTGTTCCCAAGATGTAGAAGGTGGGGTGCAGGTGGGGCAGGTGGATGCTGAGCTCTTTCACTTAAGTCTGGGGCAGAAGTGCTGAGCTTAGCAGGCCAGGTATGCTGACATAAGGGACCAGTGCTGAAAGGTACGGTTGGGAGAATTGACAGCATCCTGAACTGAGCTGTGGAACAAAAACCAGACTACCAACGTCTCTGGACCTTGTGCCGAGGGCTGCTGCCAGCCACACTGAAAAGCAGGACCCATGTTGAAATTTTCTTAAACATAGAAGTTATATAAAAGATACTCAAGTGTAAACTGATGCCTAAACACAGAGCTGGAACTTGGATGCACTTCGCTATAGAGCTGTTGCTAAAATTTCCTAAATACGGAAGCAGCATGGAGGAGATACAGGGTCCACACGGAACTGTGCCGAGACCCGGAATGGATTCATGCCTGTGCTAAGTAACTGGACTCTGTGGCTGCGGGACAGGCTGGGGGTGTTAGAAACTGGAAAGTGTCAGGTGAAGTCAGTGTCAGCAGGAACCAACAGTAGGAAGAACACTTCATCTTTCAAACTGTTCAAGCTGAATCACATGACGTTTTTCCAAACAGATGAAATACCTAGCAGTTTTTATAAGGCTCCTTTAAGAATGATCTTTCATATCAAGGAAGCATTTTCCTTGAAGTTCCATGTGTTTTCATTTTCTGCCTCAATTTTTTCTTAATAGGATATCTTTTATGAAAATACTCCATGAAATAGCCCATCCTCACAGACATGTTCTTCTCCCTCCACATCACACAAGCCCTCTACACCCCCACCCCACCGTGCTTCCATGTGGTCACCAGGTGATCTGATTTGGAGTGTCTAAAACCTTTTTCTTTTATTCTTTTCTTCAGTATTTTAAATTCTTTATAATGAGCGAGTCATGTTTTTGCAAAGATATTGGTACTTGCTGTAAGAAATCACATAGGCCAAAGGACCTGGCACTGGTTTTTTCTGTCCTTGTTGGGGACATAGATGAAACCAGTGGTGAGGTGTACCATGGGTCTGTTCCTGGACTTAGTATAGAATTATTTGGTTATTTTAATTTTGGTGCTGGGGATAGGACCCAGGTCCTCCTACTGAGCAGTTCTTTAAGCCCCTGGAAATCCACATAGAGTTATAGAATGAGAGGCCTACACAGGGACCCCATTTCATATTTTGGACTTGACATTATTAGCCAGCAACATAGCATTGAGTTGTTGGGACCCACAATTCCCAGTGTTCTCCAGATTCTGTGGAATGTGCATGAGTGAGCATGCTGGCTTACTTCAGCCACTGTCAGCCTGCAGAACCCCTGTGGGAGATCACCAGAGGGCCCAGTCTCCCTGACTGGTCACAAGGGGCTCCAGAGCTGGTCCTCGGTCTTGGGCAGGAGATGGCGTAACCCTTTTGGTTTGTAACTGCACACCTAGAACACGGACCATGTACCGTGCACATGTAGCTCATTGCCCCAGGCCCTGCAGTCTAGCAGAATAAAGAAGCCGTGCCTCACAGGCTCTGCATTAGGATGACTTGACAACCCACTTCAACATTGGAGTCCTCAACATGTCCAGGCACCCCGTGGCCAGGACATGAGAGTGGAGGGGGGAAAGGAATGGGGAAGTAGACTGGGAATTGTTGAAGAAGATGGTGGCCACCCTTCCTGCAGCTGCCTGGGGGTTGGTTCCTCCTCAGGAGGGGACTACTGTGAGTCTCGGGACTAAGGGGTGCTCTTAGCACTACTAAGGGTGGGCATTGTATGCACATAGGAGGGTCAGGGAAACTCAGGTAAGTGATTATCTCCCCTTCTGTAACTGCCATGTGAGGGACTGATACCCCAGAAGAGGGCTGTGAGGCTCTCAGGCAGACTCTGGTCAGCCGTAGGAGAGGACCCTCGTGAGCAGAGAGAGCTTGCAGTCTACACGCTTACTCAGCTTACTTAGTCCCTCACTCTCCAAATGATACGACTGGCAAGTCCAGATGCCTAAGAAGGCTTCTGACCAAGAGCAGGTGGAGGCCAGAGCTGCCTGCAGGAGGGAGGAAAGGACTGTGGGGAGCATGTGGGGAGCCGGAGACTGGTCTTAGAGAGATGGCCCATTGCAGCAGGGACGGGAACAGGGATGTAGTGAGCCCAGGACAGACCAACAGACATGCTCGTGAAAACAAAACACTTCTGTCATAAATGCAGTAGAAGGGCTGGAAGGAACCATCATTTCCAGAAAGAGTACAAGGACACAGAGGAAATGATACAGGAAACAAGAGCTAGCCCAAGAGGTCCCATGTGGCCCAGAGAGGATGACAACTGTGAGATACTGACAATCACTTCAGACCATCCTCAAATGGAAAATGTGCCTCCAGGCTTACCCTGCATCATAACTGAAAATGGATCCTCACCAAGTCCATGTTCTTTCTGAGTCTCAGTGCCTACAGGACAAAGAGCACAGTTTCAGCCAACAGAAAAACTTACACAGAATAGCCTGAGAGCTGAAGGGTGCCATGTGTCACAGTCTGGAGGATGCATTGTCTACCCACACGGTTCGATGCATCTGAGCTCAGTCAGGTGAAAACCTTTCCAACATGGGAGACTTTAACAGGGTTCCCCCACCCTTGGTACTCTCCCTCAGAATACTGTTGGAAGATGCACCCTGTCAAAATGACAGTGCCCAGTAAAATGGGGGAAATCTCAACTGTGGGAACTGGGTCTCAGGCAGTGAAATAGGGAAGAGCTGCAAACTGGGCATAGAATGTCCCCAGGCTTAGAGGCCAGCTGGCTCTGCGAGGGACTTTGCCACAAAGTTAAGATTAGGAGAATACTCAATATGAATTAGCCTAAGAAAGGAGATTTTGACAAGACGAAACACGTGCAATTGATTTGGGTGCTGTTTGATAGAAAAGTAAGTAATGGGTGTGCACACACCACCCAATTAGAAGGTGATTTTTGAGTTGGGGGAAGGAGAGCAAAGGTGTGGAGTAGGTTACCTGGTACAGATTAGCTGCTGTGTGGCATAGCCCAAGGAGCAGAGTAGTGCTGACAAGAAGCAGCGTACTCTAGCTTGATTACTGAGGGTGAGGCAGAAAGAGCTGGGTCTTTCTCAGTAGATGATGCTGGAAGCTCAGAGGAGAGCTCAGAGAGGGTGTCCTCAGGCCAGCACTGAATGGGTTGGCAGGAAGAGGGTGACTGTTCCTGCAGGGCCCTGGGGAAATGGCTAACGGCATTTTGTTTGTTTGTTTGTTTACAATCAGAACTAGATTTGGTTGGTCGGTTAATTGGTGGGATGGTTTGCTTTTGACATATTGTGCATGTGTAACTCTGATCAGTATGTTTGAGAAGCTACAGGCCTTGACCAAGGTTAGCTGGCTGGTAGGGTAGAAGTATGTCCCTGGTAGGGGCCTTGCTGATGTGATGGCCAGTTCCTCAGAGGGCCAGTTGAGGTGAAGGAGGGAATGAGGATCATCGTGGAGCAGCTGTCCAAAGGATAGTGTCACCCTAAGGGTCACAAATTCAGGTAATGTGCAGTGAGCCAAGGCAATCTGAACTCAGCTGGAGTCCCTACATCAGGCATGGGCAGGAGTGCCTAGACCTAGGCCTCGAAAGACTCCCAGGAGTTAGTGGCACAGAACCATGCTAGGAAAAGGAAAAGGAAAGACAAATACAGACAAGGAAAAGGGGGAAAGCTCTTTCTTAGGGAAAGTAGCTGACATGTTCCCTGCTTGAGGTCCTATGGGTTATTGCCAGGTACACTTTGATGGCACCTGCTGAGGGCCCTGGCCTTGTGGTCTTCAGAGGGCTTTGGATTTTTCCCAGCCTTGCCACACACTCCTAACCCTGGTCCTGTTGTAGAACTCAAGGGTGGCTGAAGCCAACTTGGGAGCTTCATGCCTGAGAGGGAGGAGTCAGGATGGGCTGAGGGAGAAGAAAGAGGTGTTTCCTCCACTGCGAGTGAAATCTTTCTTCACCTGTTCCAGGATAAAGAGCCCCGTGGGATCATCCCCTTAGAAAATCTGAGTATCCGAGAGGTAGAAGACTCCAAAAAGCCGGTGAGTATTCCTGCGATATTGCCCAGGGCCAGAAGGGGATGGTCACAACTTTGCTCTAAAAAGAGTGACATTGGAAGGCATTTTAAGACAGACATGAGAACCCGAAAAACAAAGCCATGCCTTTACCTCTGCCTGTTTTGATTATCCTTAGTGTTCAAGTGAAAGATGAAACAAACAGCCTTACTTTGTTCTGTCTGTCTGTCTGTCTGTCTGTCTGCCTCAGTGTCACCTACTGACTGGACCGTCCCTCCTAACAGGTCAGCTGCAAGCACCCATAGCTCAGTGCTGGCTTTATGACTAATGCATTGTGTGGCATGGCAGCAGCTCACCTGCAGCTCTGTGCATGCTCCTGTCTGTCAGGAGTGGAGCCAGCAGGTGTCAGGCCAGCATCTCAGCCAACAGATGGGCCTGAGACACAGTTGACATCCTGCAGTGTTCTAGTCTGAGCTTCTTTTTCCTTGGGAAAAATACTTGTGTATGTGTGCAGGTGTGTAGACAAATTACTGAACAGTCTTATTAAATAAAAAACCCGGAGCCATGTATCAGGGTTAAAACCTGAGCGATCAGAGGAATAGGAAAAGCCACAAGCCAGCCTCACCTTACTGACCCTCAGCTTCCAAAGAGACCTACTTCTTCTTTTTTTTTTTTTTTTTTTTTTTTTTTTTTTGGTTTTTCAAGACAGGGTTTCTCCATGCAGCTTTGGAGCCTGTCCTGAAACTCACTATGTAGCCCAGGCTGGCCTCGAACTCACAGAGATCCGCCTGGCTCTGCCTCCCGAGTGCTGGGCTTAAAGGCGTGCGCCGCCACCGCCCGGCGAGACCTACTTCTTATACACCCACGCCTATGTGCCTTGCTGTTCTGCTGTATCATTTGTTCTCTCCATCCAGCTACATCACTTCTTTTTCCTGCCCAGCTCTGTCACTTCCTGTCTGTCTGTACAGACGTACAGACCTCCAGACCTCCATGGTTAACTAGTGTTGGAGTTTAAGGCATGTGCCACCATACCTGGCTCTGTTCCCAGTGTGGCCTTGAGCTCACAGAGATCCAGAAAGATCCCTGCCTCCCAAGTGGTAGGATTAAAGGCTTGTGCTACCATTGCCTGACTTCTATGTTTAATACAGTGGCTGGCTTTTTCCTCTGATCCTCAGACAAATTTTATTGGGAGACACAGATAAAATATCACCACAGAGGTTCCTCAGGAACTGTCTGCCTGGTTTTCTGAGACAGACTCTCAACTGGGGAGATGGGAAGTGTGAGACAATGTTGGCAAGTACAAGAAGAGCCTGAGTTCAGATCCTCAGAAGGGCTGGGCCTGGTGATGTGTGTCCGTAATCCCAGCCCTACCGTGAGGCTTGCTGACCTAGTGTATGCAGTGGGAAAACAGCAATGGGCCTCTTAGACAAGGTCGAAGACGGGGTGATACCCGCGGCTGTCCTCGGGGTTCCAGGCTGATACAGTGCACCTACATTCACACAAGTGCGCACACATACACACTCACAAATTTATTTATTTATTACTTACTTATTTTTGCTTTTTCAAGACTGTATGGCCCTAGCTGTCCTAGAGCTTGTTTTGTAGACCAGGCTGGCCTCGAACTTAGAAATCCACCTGCCTCTGCCTCCTGAGTGCAGGAATTCAAGGCGTGTGCCACCACACTGGCCCACATTTGACTTTTTAAATGCAGGATCAAACTCAGTTCCTCGTGCTTCTGTGGCAAACACTTTATCAACTGACTTCTGTCCTCTGCCTTCATTTTCTGAAGGTATTCCCTGATACATATTTCTTGAAAGTAAGAATAAAGAGTCTTTGGGAAAAAAAATAGCATTTCCCTTAGTCAACAGCTTCTTCAAATCTGACTGTACTTCTCCTTTCCTTCTCAGAACTGCTTTGAGCTTTATATCCCTGACAACAAAGACCAGGTGATCAAGGCCTGTAAGACGGAGGCCGATGGCCGCGTGGTGGAAGGGAACCACACCGTGTACCGCATCTCAGCCCCGACCCCCGAGGAGAAGGAGGAGTGGATCAAGTGCATCAAGTAGGTGGTTCCCACTCTCGGGGATGGTCGCAGTGTCCTCTCCTTCCAGCTCGGAAGGGCTTCAGGGAGGGCTTCCTAGCCGGCCTTTGGATTCCTGCCCATTAGAGCATGAGTGTGCCATGTCTCCAGCCTAGGCACCCAGGGAATTCAGAGACCCAGAGTGGGGACAAGAGCCACTTGCCTCCATTATGTGTCTGTGGGGGGGACATCTCTCCCTGGTGCCTCCTCGGTGGATGGCACTTGGCTTTACTGTACTTTTTCATCCAGTGAGACTGTTACAGACACGGAAACTAAGCCCCTAAGTTACGAGAGCTGTGGAAAGTCACGGCGCAGTGACGCCAGGTCATGAACCATGTGCTGTGAGAGCACAGCCAGCCTGAGTGGAGGGAGCTTCTCCAGGTCCCGCCATGAACTGTGATGCCACAGTGTGAGGTTTACTACAGGGACAGGACTTCCCGGTGTGGCACGTGACTGGAAAGAGGCTTTGCAAAGCTCCTTGATGTCTTCTGTCAGCATTGTTCCCTGGGACTGACATGAAACCTGGGATGATGGGCATCCTTCTCCTTGCACCAGGAAGACGGCCATTGAGCAGCCTGACTTCCCTCAGAAGTTATAACACCCTCTCGGCAGTTATTTCTTCCAGCAGTACATCCTTACTCATCACTCTGGGGACTTCGGCCATCAGGAGTTATTCAAGTGTTTCCCTTAGAAAGCTTTGCTTGTTATCTGGGCCCTGGCGACCTGGGGAGTGAGGAAGATATGCCATCAGGTCACAGGCTGCCTCTGTGTCCTAGACATAGCAAGCATGCCTTCTACCCAGCTGCAGCCCATCCTTAGGACCTGATTGTTACCTAGTCTAATTAGTTTGGGGGGCTTTACTCCAACCAGTGCGGTGTTTTGGCCAAGATCAGACAGGGAGCAAGCAAGGTGCTGACAAGCTGGTATGAAGGGCTGATGCTTTTCTCTGGAGAGATGCCACTCACAGTTCCCAGGGAAAGGAAGCTGATGGCTGGGCTTGGATGCAGGTCACCAGTGCAGTCAGTCCTTGATGTGTTTGGGGTGTGTTACCCATTTCTTCTCTGACGCTCTCAACTTAAAGGGCTGCTTGAGGACTGAGGTAGAGTGCTGAGGCTGATAGCGTGCTGCCTTGACCTAGGCATTGTCCTCAAATGACAGCTGTTGTGTCAGTTACGGTCCACAGATAGGGCCAGGCAGGGAGCCCATCCTCTGAGCATTGCCTCTGTGTCTGGGAAAGACCTGAGACCAGGGAACAGATCGTACCCGGAGTGTCTCTCGATCCAGTAACTGTCTGTCTGACACTGACTCAGAGCGCTTTCCCTGGTCCTACCACGTTCTGCATGGCCCCTGACTGGCCTGTGTGGACCACTGTATTCCCATCTGAATACACATTGCTTCTGTCACTAGAATATGCTTTGGTAGAGGCTCCTTCCCCTTAAAGCTCTTTCAAAGGAAGTTTGGCTATTTTTGTCCATTTTGGCTCTGATGTAAGTTTTTGCTGCTGTAATCAGAAAAATGGAGTGTTCTTTAAAGTCCCTCTTGGATCCTTGTGGGTGCTAGGCCTGCTCCTGGGGCTGCCAATCTCCTCTGACAACTCCCCGCAAATATTCTTGATGCTTCCCTGGGAGCTCAGGCTTGGCCTCTGGAGGATGTGCAGATGCTGGGACTCTGTAGCATGGTCTCTGCATCCCAGTCCCCATGGGGAAAGCCCAGAAGATGGTAAGCACTACTCCACAGAGCACTGGGGGAAAAATGCTTCATGGTGTTGTAGAAGGCCAAGATGCTTTCTCTTGGTAGCTGCCCTTCCTCGAGGTTCTCAGCAGCCTAAGCAAACTCCTAGTGCATTGCATGTGTCCATCTTAACACTGGGTTCAACAGAGTCCAGACTGCAAGCAGACACTCAGTAGGCCAGAGATGCCCACTGTCTGCCGTGGGGAGCCTGTGTCTGACAGGTGTGGAGAGGTGCGATTTCCAGTTCCAAGAACTAACAGGACCAGATCTAGTACCGGGGATGAAGAGGAAGTTAAACATAGCCCATAACTGAAGAGTAACTGATGCCACCCCAGTTCTTGGCACCATTTCCCAACATATTTTCAACTGGGCATCATGGGCACTGCTGTACAAGGGCAAGCAACCTACCAAAGGGGTTGGCCGTCCCTCAATAGGCAAAGTAGAATCAGCTATCCCTGAAGGTGAAAGGCCTCTGACTAGCCGTATTCCTTTGGGTGCTGATTCCCTGTGGTGGTGAGACCCAGCCAGCTCACCAGAGCTGTGGCAGGGAGAGTGCTGGGATGTGTGTGCTGTGGACTCTGGGTCACTGGTGACCAATAGAACTAAGCATCACACAGACTCTGCTTCCCTAGGAGACCAAGCACCAGCTCTGTGGCCTTAGCCACCTCCACTGTCCAGTGCAGGTCACGTGTGCCCTCCCTTACTGGGCTGGACAGGCAGCATGGCTGTTCCCCTTTTGCTCTGGGCCCCCAGCAGCAGTACTCATCTCCATGGAGCTGGTACACATAGGCCCCCAGAAGTTCCTCTGCCGTCTATGCCAGCCTCTTGAACACCATGAGTGAAGTAACTTAATGGCAAGTATTGCAACATGCCACTCAGGGATACAGAGGACAGTCACTTGGTTGAGAAAACCAAATCCCCACGCTGGGAACTCAGCTAAGGAGTGAATGTATAATGGTTCTACTCCCAAATGCTAAGTGATGTTAGTTTAAAATAGGCAGGAACCTCCACGCTTACTTTGTTACATGTCCCTGTGTGTCACCTTAAGCTACCACTTGGACAGAGTGAGGGTGGGCGTTCCTGGTGACAGCTGGCAGCCCAGGTTCATCTACCCCTCATGCCTCTTCTCTCCCTTTCTGTCCTCCAGGGCTGCCATCAGCAGAGACCCTTTCTACGAGATGCTAGCAGCACGGAAAAAGAAGGTCTCGTCCACGAAGAGACACTGAGCGTGCACCAGGGCGCGGCAGCCCCCTGAGCTGGCCCTTTCTCCCGCCTCCCCTGGAGGGGCGCAGCGGAGCCAAGCGAGGAGAGCAGAGGGCCCCTCTGCCAGTTCCTGCCCGCTCCTAAAGACTAGCTTCAGCTTTTGCAGTTTTCTAAGTGGGAGAAGGGTGGGCGGTGAGGGCTGGGGCTGCTGCCGCCCCCCGTGGCTCCAGCCGCTCTCAGAAGCGCTGCCAGCAGCAGAGCAGTGCCACGGTCCCAGGCCTCAGCTCCGCAGACCGATGGCACGGCAGAGAGCTCTCTCTTTACCTCGCAGTGTTCCTGGCCAAGGGCCTTCACCTCTGCTCCACAAATGCCTGTGAGGATGTACTTTATGGACTGAGGAGAAAGGAGGAAAGGAAAAGAAGCCACGCACTAGAAAGATTTATTTTTGTTTTTGTAAAGCAAACATGAACGTAGCACTGTACTCTGCCCTCCTGTGTGCCCTGCTTGGGAAGCTTCCCCTAGTAGGGGCTCTGGGGCTGCTGGCATCCCAGGAGCTGCTGCCTCATGACCTATGTGGGCAAGAGGGGCAAAAGCGGGCAGCTGGCAGGGCCCAGCAGCCACAGGGAGGCCCCCAGGGCCCCAGCAGGGCAGCAGGCAGGCAGTCTGGGCAGCTCCTGCCCAGTGCCTATGGGGTGGGGTGAAGGTAACTAGCTCCTTGCCTGGCCTCAGTACCCAGGCCCACTGCGCTTTAAAGTGGGAGTCTGCATTTTCCTAGTAACCAAAACTGTGAGGAGGCCACCCGTGGTCCCGGGTGGCCGACGACTGTTTCATAGCTGGTTTTTCTTTCTCCTCCCCAAGGACTCCACTCCTCGTTCTAGAGGAAGGAGTAGGTTTTACCTGATCCCCTTGGGGCTCCAGTCTTTTCTGCCTCAAAAGTATCCCCAACTGGACTATTCTGGTGCACTCTGTGGTAGCCTCCAGGAGCAGGGTCCTCGCTCAGCAGCGTGCAGTGCAGTCAGGCAAGGGTGAGGTGGCCTTTCTGTCCCCTCCCCCCATGGCATGCCACGGCACATGTGTGAGTTGGCCCTGGTCTCCTGACTCAGTGTGAAGGGAGCCATGAAGCCTAGCATCTCCTGCCGTTCTCTCAGGGACTCTCAAGGGCGGCTCCTGCTCCTTGGCCAGGGCCAGCGTGCCAGTCCAGGCAGAGCAGGTGGCACACTCCTCCGTGTGGCCAAGGCCTCGGTGGCAGAATGCTGCCTCCAGGCAGGTGGAGGAGCCATGGGCCCCCTCTAGGCGGTGTGAGCTCGGCTCCTCCAATCTCAGAAGGAGGTCAGCACCTCTGGAAATAGCTTTGCAGAGAAGGGTGAGTCTGGGGACAGCACTCTGGCCCCCTTCCTGTGGATCCGGCCTCGAGTGGCTTCAGGTGCTTGATGCTGGCGTGTGTGAAGGAGACAGTGACAGAGGAGGGTCCAGGCTGGAAAACTGAGCCTCCTGGTAGAGAACCAGGCAGTGCCAGCCAGGTTGGGGGGGGGTTGGGCCAGGGTCAGAGCCTCTCCTGCACACTGGTTCTCACAGGTGTGTCCTGGGCAGACCAGCACCTGGATCAGTATCAGTCTATTTATCAGAGGTGTAAATAATTCATACATAGTTTTTCTCCTTTTAGATTATTTTGTATTTGTTTAAAAAAAGATTTGTCAAAATACAAAGAAATGACTGAAAGTTGTTGACAGGGTTTTTTAAAAATATTATTATTATTCCAATTGTTTTTTGTTTGTCTTTGCCTTGTAAACTAGCTCCAAGGAACTGCAGCAAATAAACTCCAAATGTGCCCAAAGCACTTTCGTTGTCTGCTTGGTAGTGGGTGTCATCTCTTGTCAAGCCTGGGCTTGGGAGCTGGTGCGCCTGTAGGGTGGGCATGGCTCCATCCTGAGTGTGGTTGTGATAAGAAAGCAAAAGTTGGGTAGGGGCTGTGTTTCTGCAAGGGATGGCATAACAAGGGGGGTGGGCTTAACATTTGCCCCCCTCTTTTTGGGAAAGAAACTCAACTTGAAGGCAGAGCAGAAGTATCCACATCAGCCACCTGCAGCCTTGTCGGGTGATTGAGCGGCACCAGGAAACAGGTCACAGGTACATGACCCATGTGGCAGAAGCTGGCGTCTCTCTGGGCTCCTTTCTTTCTTTCCTTTTCTCGAGGCAGCACTTCGTGTAGCTCAGGCTGGCCTTGAGTTCACTGTGCAGCTGAAGAAGACCCTGAATTTCTGCTCTTCTTGTGCCTGCCTCTCTCCAGTGCTGGGATCACAGTTCTGTACAGTGCCCGGTTTGTGCAATGCTGGGGATCACCCCAAAGCTTTCTTCGTGTGACGCAAACACTCCAGGAACTGAACTGCATCCCAAGCCCGGGGGGTGAGGCAGCAGGGCCACAGCCTTTCCCTCACACCGGTCCTCACAGGTGTGTCCTGGGCAGCCCAGCACCTGGATCAGCATCCGTTTATTTATTAGAGGAACTATATAATAATTCATATATAGTTTTTCTCCTTTTAGATTGTTTTGTATTAGAAAAAGATTTGTATTATTTTGCTTACAAAAAGATTTATCAAGATACAACGAAATGACGGAAAGTTGTTGACAGGGTTTTTTGAAAATATTATTCCAATTGTTTTTTGGTTTTGCCTTGTAAACTATCTTCAAGGAAGTAGGTCACTGAGGGCATATTTTTGGAGACTGTATCTTGTCCTCTCTCTCTGCCTCCTGTGTACCATGAGGTAAGTATCCTCCGCCACAGGGTTCTGCTGTCATGATGCTCTACCTCATCAGATCCCAGGATCACCAGATCCCAGGACCATGGACTGAAACCTCTGAAGCCGTGAGCCAAATGATCGTTATCCCTTTTGTTTCCAGGTATTCTGGTCACATCTGGGGAGGGCTAACAACCTGGTTAGCTCCGTGCTCAGCAAACAGACCACTGCCCTGACTTCCATTAAGGCAGACAATGTAAAGATCAAAGGTGCTGTAAACTTGGTACCAGAACACGTGTCCTGATGCACAAGAACAGCCCCAGCAGATACACTATTCTTGTCTCCCTTAATCCAGGTCTCTGCATCTCATTCCTTGACATTTGATGACATTTGCTTATCTCCTCCTGGTTTAATATTTTTGTACGTATTTGATCAAAACGAATCTGCTGATGTGTACGTGGCTCTTGCTGTTTACATGGCTGCATCTTGTTCATAAGCATGAAGTCAGTACTATGCACAGAACCCCCATCTCTGTGGGCTCCTCAGCCTTGGGCTCTGTCCCTTCACTTCCTTTCTGAGCCACATCTGGTGGGCTGGTTCTACCGCTTCATTCTGTGTGAGTCCAAGCTCTTGAGAGCTGAGTCTCAGCATCTTCTGCCTCCTGCTTGGTTAAGCGTGCTCGATCCCGAGCTCTTGTCTTCTTGCAGTAGTTGCATTAGAGTGGCTCGTTCCTCACTGAACGTCTTCATTCAACAAGCACTACCTGGGGTCTACCAGACTAGGAAGCCAAGTACTATGTCCATGACTTGACTTGAAAGATTGCTTACTGCTGGCCTGCCTGAGGCCCCCTGGAGCAGAAACAGAGAACAGGGCCGCAGAGCAGCAGTGCTGGGGGCAGGGCAGCGGGGTTGGACAAGCGTGCTCCGTGCTCCTGACTCATCTCTTCCTGAGCATGGAATTGACCACCAGCGCCTGCTAGAGAGCCGCAGAGGAGTAGATTGTGGACAGTGAGAAAATACCAAACCTTTTTTTTTTTTTAAAGTGTTACTCATAGACTGTGACACAGAGTGGCTTAAACAGAAGCAGCACTTTGGAAAGGTAGGTGGTGTGGATGGCTATCTTGCTATCTTGCTACCCCTTGTGCTGTGCTGGTCACAGGAGGTGACCTCATCACTGTTGGGTAGGGTTGTGCCCTGTCTCTGGAGTTCTTCCTAGGCTCCAGTCTTTCGGCTGGCCTGACCTTGGGCTGTGTAGCCCTGCACGGCTTGTTTGCCAGCTTTGAGCCTCCCTCCACTGTGAATGTGACCCTGAGCATGACAATCACACACATTGTTGGAGGTTCTCTGGGCCCAGTAGAAGGTGAATGTGAATAGTTTACTCACTGGGGCCCAGCTTTCTCTGAAACTTGCCGGTGTTAGAAAATGCCCAGGGGAGGGCCAGGCTCAGGTCATTTGTGTGTCCCATCCACGGTTCTGGTCCTTCTGGTTAGAGGCTGTCTTGGTAAAGAAGGAGTACCAGTCCTTGGGTAATGAAGTTGGTCATCCCAGCATCTTGCTTAGCAGCCAAGAGCAGTCTCGGGCTGGAGCAGGGGTGGGGACGATAGGGAAACAGGTAGCATGGAAGCACCGCCCCCCACACCCCGACTCCGAGTCCCCCCACCCCACCCCGTCTCCATCCCAGGTTGCTTCATCACATCAGAATGTGACACAAACCTCTCCGGTGTGTGTATGGGAACTTAGCAGAAGCCAGGCTAACAGCCAGTCATGGGTACGTCATTGTTTACTCCGTAGACCTCTGCATCCCTGACGTGTGCGTTTCTGAGTGTGTCTGCTCGTACCGATGCTTGGCTTGTTTGACTTTGTTTTGCTGTTTGTTTGGTCCTGGTTTTAGTTTTGTACTTGTTCTTTTGAGAGCTCACTGTGTAGTCCTCACAGCCTGGAACTCGCTGTGCAAACCAGGCTGACCTCAGACTTGAGCAGAGCCGTCCCCTGCCTCTGATTCCCAAGTGCGGGGATGACAAGCCTGTGCCACCACACCCAGCCTCGGATCCTGTCTCATGAGCCTTTTGCTAATTAAGAATCTCACTTTAAGGATCCAGAAGAGGATCATCTCTGAGGAAGCCCATTGCTAAAGCACCTGAGGCTGTGATGCATACCGAAGCCCTAGCTGGTCAGGGCCAATAGGGTAGCGACTGAGGCAACATCCTTGATAACTAGACATACTCACACCTGGGGGAAGTAAGGACATGGTGCCTCCAGGCTTTCACATCCAGGTGAGTGAGAACATGGGTGAGAGTGACGGAGGCAATGATGGTGACAGATGCTATCCCAACACTGTAAGCGCACAGCCTTGGGTGTAAAGGGCAAGAGGGAAAAGGATGATGTGGGATGCCAGGTGGATGCCCCTTGGGAGGGCATCTGAGGGAAGTGATGTCAGGAAGGACTGAGGTGGTGACCCACAGGGAACTGCAGAGCATGGCTCTTTCCAAGGTCATAGGAGGGTACAGCCGTTGGTCATGTCACTCCCTAGTGTGACAGCTCCAGAACATTATGCCCTACATGCATGTAGAGGAGGGGCCTGGCCAAGGAGAAGGCCAACTTCCATGAGTGGGTTGATTTCACCAAGGGCCAGGGCAGCCCAGAGTGGGCAGGACCAGCATGACTAGCCAGGTCCCTGGTACTTCTAATGGCAAAGCTGGGCATGACATGACTGTTGACATGCCAAGCCTGTAACTAGAGTTTTCCTGCTTGGTCCACAGTCAAGACAAATCTTTCTCACCTGCCAGTCCCACAGCCGCTCAGACCCAACCAAGTAAACACAGAGACTTATATTGGTTACAAACTGTATGGCCGTGGCAGGCTTCTTGCTAACTGTTCTTACAGCTTAAATTAATCCATTTCCATTAATCTATACCTTGCCACATGGCTCGTGGCTTACCGGCATCTTCACATGCTGTTTGTCATCATGGTGGCTGGCAGTGTCTCTCTGACTCAGCCTTCCACTTCCCAGCTTTATTCTCCTCCTTGTCCCGCCTATACTTCCTGCCTAGCCACTGGCCAATCAGTGATTTATTTATTGACCAATCAGCAACACATGTGACATACAGAACATCCCACAGCACAAGCCCTTGATGTAGATCTGCAAATCCACCCCCACCCACCTCACCCTGGCAGACTGCAGCTAGGTCACAGACATTCATGCTCTCGTGGACTCTGTCAGACTGCAGGGTAACACACAGCGTATTCTTCAGCCAGTGTGCTCCTCAGGCCAGTTCTTGGGCCCTAGGTAAGCTCTTGGGGCCAGGGCTCTGCAGGGGTGCCCAAGTCATTCATTTGTTTTTATTCGTTGGTTTTGGTTTGTGGCAGGCTCTCATCCATTGCCCAGGAACCATTGCCTGGGACTCCCTGTGTAGCCCAGGTTGGCTTCACATACACAGTCATCCTCCTGTTCCAGCCCTTTAAGTGCTGAAATTACAGCTGGAGCTCCCATGGTCAGCTTGAGTTGTTCATATTATAGTGACATGGGGAATGTTGAATGGGGCATTTAGGAGTTGAGACACTTGCCTGTGCTGGTGAGGACCTGATTTACATGAATGGACTGTGGGAAATGCAGAAACCACGCACTTCCCACGTGGTCAGAAGATAATCTGATGTCAAATCCTTACAGTAACCTCTGAAGAGCTGCTGAGAGACAGCGAGGTAGGCAAAAAATCCAAGATTACCCCAATTCCAGCACGCTGCTGGTCAGAGCGGTCAGGAGCCGCAACTCGGATACGGAGCATGTGGGTCCCTGCCATTGGCTCCGTGGTGGAGCCAGTGACTCAGTGAACTCTGGATGCACACAGGTTGGTACAAGGAAGAGGACATGGTATCCGTTTCCTCAATTAGACAGGGTGTGAAGCATAATTGTCACAACAGTGACAACTGATGTCTGTTGGCCTGGCCGACACAGCTAAAGTCCAGTGAGGAAGTCTCTTCTGAATTTCTTTAAATTCATTTTATTTTATGTGTATGGGTGTTTTGCCTGAATATATGTGTACCACATGTGCCTGGTGCCTGTGGAGACCAGAAGAGGGTGTTAGCTCTTCACAGGAAGACAGCCT